TTTATTTAATTATCCTTATTCTCAAAAATGTGTAAATTCTTATTTTCTAAAAATACAATACGATTAACGGTGTACAAATTTCTACCGGTGCTATTCTATCGACGCTCTGCTGCGGTGCGACGTCGGCGCTACTATGTCGGCACTCTGCTATGTTATGAGCGGGCGTCGCCGTCACGCGGGTTCACGGTAGACTGTGGAGTGGCGGCCCTCTACCTTTGAACAGCCAAGCCTTGTATAGGAAACTATTTACAAGTCAAGAGCTATTCGCTAATAGCTGTGCGTTCACGACCACAGCTCCGCTACTGACACTTGCTGCTGGGCGAACGGGTGCCGCCGCCATGCGGGTTCACGGTAGACTGTGGAGTGGCAGCGCTCTACCTTTGAACAGCCCAGCCTTGCATAGGAAACTATTTACAAGTGAAAAGCTATTAGGGGTATTCTCGAAGTCTTGCACGATGCACGGATTGCACGAAATGCAAAAATACTATTCCAAATTTCGAAGAGTACGAGAACACCCCATTGCAAAGTGGTAGCATGCATGGGGAGCAAGCAGCGAAATTATGTATCAAATACAATAACAAGAGACAGCAAAAAAAAAATTAAGTGAGCGAGATGAGAGGAATGAGAGAAATATGTAGCAATTCCAACAACAAAACAACTAGCACAGGGTCGCTATTATCTTGCTATGCTATTTTGCAAAATATATACATGGGTTTCGACGTTGCATATTTTGCAGCGATAGGAAATGTTGTTTCCCATGAATTTTCTTGTTGTGTGTTTGCAATTTATGCAATCCGTGCAATCCGTGCTACGTGCAATGGCTTTGCAAGATTTGGAGAATACCCCTATTGCTTAGTGAAGAGCTTAGAGCGGTATGTTGCTGACTCACCTCTGTTATAGCTGTTGCTCTTCGTGTTGCTGAGTCGTATAGCTATATGCTGCGTCGCTATGGTGACGGTGTCAGCAAGGATGTTGGTTGGCCGTGTCGATGATTTTGCTGCAGTCGTTGTTGTTGGTGGTGTAGTCGTTATTGCTGGCGTAGGGGTACGCGCTCGTGTGCGCTAAATTCCGCGAATATTTATCCCCCACACTTCCCTCCCTCTTCGGCGGGCTTAATGCTTGGGATGTTTTGGCCACATACGTGCTCCTATTGGTATATGGTGGCTTGATAGTTCCCTATGCATAGCCTCCGGAAAACACCGGACCCTTTCAGCAATCTCTGGGAACTGGTGTAGTGCTGTCCCGCTGGCTTCGTCGGCGGGAATTATTATTTGTCCTCTCGATGGTGTTAATTGGCATGGTCTTGGGGACGGTGGTGGTACAACTTCGGATGGTGCTGATGGTCGTGGGGGTGACGGTGGTTATGGGGTTACCTTGGTGGGTGCTAGAGGTCGTGGCGGTGATATCTCAGGGGTGTTGGTGGTCGAGGTGGTGGCGGTAGTAGTGTAGCTGTCTCCGGTGGTTGCTAAAGTACTCTCAGCGGAGGAACTCCCGCCACTTTCAGGAGTCGGCCACACAGATGTATAGGTCGTGGGTCACCTACTGATTGGCAAGGGCGGGCAGGAACCAATGTTTCGCGACGTTGTGTGACGCGAGGATAACCCGTTGGCCGAAGAGGTCGATGTGGCGTTTTTACCGGTGCATGCGCTAGTAGTTCACTCCCCGGTCGGGTTGGCTTAACTACCACACCACGAATGGGCTGAGCATGGTGCCTCGTGCGTTGAGCGTGGCATCCAGGCCCCTCGCCCAGGCATCGATAATTGGGCCTGTCAGCTAGTAGGGTCCTGCCAGCGTCTGCAGGTCGGCTTCGTATAGTGCTATTCCGCCTGGTCCTAGCAGGAAGATTACTCGCGGGCCCGTTGTCGCCTGCTGAGGTGGTTCCTCGTCTGAGGATAACTCGACTTCTAGTGGTTCGGGCAATCCAATGTCGGTGTCTTGGTCGCCGGTAGCTTCATGTTAGTTTGTCGCTAGCTGGGCTATCGGCTGGTGAGCTGTCGTGCTGGTGTTCGATGAGCTGTCGCTTATTGTGCTGCCACTGGGCGAGCTACTGTCGGGCGTAGTTTGGTCCGTGTCAACTACGCTCTCGTGTGTAGTGTCGTGGCCTGCCACTACCCTCCCCACAGAGAACGTGGGTTCCCAGGCGGTGTTGTGTCCATTGTCTCCCGTTGGGCTGACGGTCGGGCGAGCGGCGAGTGTGCGCCGGGCGACTTCGTGGGCGGCGTGTGCTACCCTTGTGAAAGCTGCTGTGGCGTGCACGGCGGCCGTGCGCGCGGCGATGGCCCGCCGAGCAGTTGTTTGGGCTGCGGCGGCGCATGCTGCTGTCAGCATGCTGGGTGTGTGGATGTGGCCGCGTACCTTGCGACCGCCAGCGCAGGTCGTTTCCGCGTGGATGGCGATGGCGTACATACTGGCTGTGGGTGCGGCGGCGGCCCGCTATTCTCCATTTTGCTTGTCTCTTTAAGATTCATTGATGAATGATTTTCCTTTTTACATATTTCTTTCGCTTTGTCCAGGTGTGGATGGTTCGCTGGTTGATGATCGAATGATTGCCTCCACTGACGCGACGGTCTTGCTAATTTTATTTTTTGTAGTTAAAATGGAATTTATTTAATATATTTGTTTCTCTCCCTTTTTTTGTTTTACTATTTTGTAGCGGTTTCGGCCGTGTTGTATGCCTTCAGTTGAGCAATGTTCGCCGTTCTTGTCCTCCCATCGTCGGTTCTTCGTAGTTCCACTTTTACCGGTGATACGTATCTGGGTACCTGGTAGGGGCCGGCATATTTTGGGGCTAATTTTGCCGCGAAACCCTGTGGACCAGCTCACCGATTTTTGGGTTCCACTACCGGCAACGCAGGTTGTAATGACGCGCGGCACATTCCATGCTTTGTGTGACGATCCTGAACGCTACCTGCATCCTCGTGGATTTTGCTGCGGCCGTCGGAGCTATTTCGCCTGTTGCGTCAATTATTTCGTCGAAGAGTGCTCCCGGTAGTCGTCGTTCCCGTCCTTGCACCAGGAACGCTGGGCTGTATCCTGTGGAGGCTGTCACGCTCGTGTTCACGGCGGTCGTCCCATCGCTTACGTTGTATTTTCGTAAGTTGTGCGATAATCCGCCTTACCGTGTGGTTGGCGAGTTCCGTCGGGTTGTCTTGGCGGTGTATGGGGCCGCAAATTGTTGGCGTACCCCCACCTCCTGAAGGTAGCGCTGCCGGAGTGTGCTGGCAAATTGTACTCCATTGTCCGAAAACCTGGGTACACCGAATTGGACGAGGTTGCGCTCCCTAAACGCGCGACGAAGTCTGTATCATAAGGACCAACTCGACCCCCTTGCTAAATCGGTCGAAGAATGCCAGCAACATGGCGTTGCCACGCGTGGACCGTGGTAGGGGTCCAATGAATCGGCGCATAACTTGGCGAAAGGTTTCTGTGCAACCTGCGAGAACATCTTGCCGGCTGGTTTGTGTTGTCCCTCCTTATACTTCTGGCAGAACTCACATTGACGAACGTACCGGCTGATGCCGCGAAACATTCCTGACCAATAATACCAACTGGCAATACGCGCAACTGTTCGGCAAATACCCATGTGTCCAGAGCTTGGTATGTCATGGTTCTCTCGCAGTACTCTTTGGCGGAAGGGGTCGTTCTGTGGTCCTGTATCAGATATTCGGTGTATTTTGCCGCGTTGGTACGTACTTCGTCAACGCGTCTGTGCCACCATTTGCATCGGGGTTCCGCCACTGTTGTTCATAGTAGCGTTTCTAGTGGTTGTCGTGACAATGCGTCCGCGACTAAGTTCCCTTCGCGGTACTCGATGAAGAATGCGTGTTGTTGCAGCTCAAGGGCCCATCGCGCTTTACGACCTGAGGGACTTTCGATGGAATTTAACCACTTAAGTGGCATGTAGTCGGTTATGACGTTGAATCGGTATCCTTCCAGATAGGGCCTCATTTTGCGTATTCCCCAGACTATGGCTAAGCACTCCTTTTCCGTGGCCGAATAATTGACTTCTGCCTTATTGAGCTTCCGACTGGCGTATGCAATTACCCGTTCACCGCCTTCCAACTCCTGCGTGAGTACCGCCCCTAAGCCGAAACTACTCGCGACCATCTGCAGGCTTAATTTCTTGCTGAAGTCTGGGTGGTACGAACCGGCGAAACCAGGAAGCTATCCCGAGGTATTGGCGCACCTCTTTCACGTTGGTCGGAGGTTTTAGTTCCTGGATGGCGGCGACTTTGCCGGGGTCGGTGTGTATGCCCTTGTCACTAATAACGTGGCCCAAGTACCGAAGTTCCTATTTAAAGAAATCACACGGGGTTAATGCGCAGGTTGGCCCGCTGTAGTCGCTCTCTGGAATGTTGCGGGTGCGGAATGTAGGCCGAACGGCATGACGCGCTCCTAGAACAGGCCGCGTCCCGGGACGGTGAAGGCGGTGTACGGGTAGCTATTTGGCTCCAGGGGAATCTGCCAATATCCGTTTTTGAGGTCTAGGCTACTGTTGTACTTCGCCCGACGCAATTTGTCCAATATGTGCTATATCCTCGGCAAGCAGTACCGGTCCGGTACTCATCGGGCGTTGAGTTGACGGTAACCTTCGCATAGGCGCCACTTGCCGTTTTTATTCCGGGCTAATACGATCGGTGCACTGTGAGGACTGCGATACATCATAATTGCCGAATAGCTCGTCGATTTCCGTGTCGATGATAGATTGCATTGCAGGGTTGCGCAGAAAGTATCGCTGCTTGATGGGGCGTTCGTCCGTCATGACGATTAGGTGCTACTCCACTTATAGTCTCGAATTTCTGCAATTTTTCTCCGTGGTTGGGGTCTTCGTGTTCTATTCAGATGATCCTCTCCCTTGTAGACCTCCGTCTTGTACGGCGCCTCCTTTTGATGCCCATTGGTGGGCGATTTCTTGTCATGGCGGATGGTTCGGTGTCCCGGTAGTTGCTGCTGGGTCGCTTGGTGTCGTCGGCGTGGGTTGTATGGGTGGATCCGTCAACATGATGCGGTGGCCACCGCAGAACATCGTAGCTCCGATTCCTCCTACTGTGTCCAGGTCCAAGATGATGTCGTCAATTGCTCCAGGTAGAACGGCGTTGTGGATCGTTTGCCCAAGGCGGCCATAAGGATCCCTATGGTCATTATTATTTTTGCGCCTCTCCCCGAGATAACCAAGTGCTCCCCCCAGCTGACAGACAGGAAACTCCTCGAGTGACCTGTGTCGATGACCGCTTCCGCGGGCGCTCCACCCAACGAGATTAGGGCGTAAAGGCGGCCGCGTTCTTGCCTCCAGATTATTGGTTACTCGGGGGCTTCATCGCGCCTATTCCCTGGCGAAGCAGCACTCTATTGTTCGTATGTTTTCCCGGCCACACTTCCAACAGCACAGCTTCCGTGGGTTACGGCACCTTCGGGCGAAGTGTCCCTCTTGACCACACCACACCTCCTGCATGTGTTGCCGATATGAAAAGTTTGAGTCGCAGCTATTGAGGGGGGTAGGGTTCTCACCGCGGTGTTATACGGTGCTTCTCGATGATGTTGTGCTTTTCGATGATGGCAGTCGCTGCTGAAATGCCTGTCTTGGCTGGGGTGGTCATGAGATCGTCACCAACGTGCCTAGTTATTTCTCGTCGTGATGCTTCTAGGACCCGCCGATGGCTTTCGTAAATGTTTTCATATTCTTCTGCGAGCGTGAGGAGTTCCCTGGAAGTACTATAATTTTATCGCTTGATGTACAGCAAGTTGTCGGGGTGGCTGTTGCGAAAAATCCTTTCCAGCCATTGTTCATTGCTGTAACCCGCGTATCGCATCAGGTTTTGAATCGCGATCACGTCGGCCAGCTCCTCTAATCGTTCTTCAAACGCCAACGGGTCGCGTCCTCCATCGTATATCACCGACCACTTGCGCACCTGGTCAATGACGGGCGCAACAGTAATGGTAGGTACCTGGTTGCCGTTGGTTAGTAGGTCAGCGCTTGGTGCGATGGATGTCGTTGGTGGGTGTTGCGGTAGCGGTTGTGTACTCAGTGGTGGATGTGCTAACAGGCTCTGCATTGGCAGCCTAACGGACGCATTAGCGGTCCTTTCGCCTTGGTTCATGGGTAACGGTATCTTTGGTTCACTTTCGTCTCCCCAGGAGGCCTCGTGTTCGTTGTATGCTGCTTCCATCGCGAGAAATTTTGCGTGAAGCTCCAGGTCGACGATTGCTTTGGTGGTCCATGCCGCTATGCGTTTTCGAATGTCTCGAGTGGTGCCTGTGTGTTCGATGCCCAATTCCTGCGTGATTTACACCAACTGCTTTTTAGATATGCTTTCCAGCCATACTATGCTCACGGGTTCCTTCATGGCCGGTTTAGTTATCGGTTGCGAAATGTTCTCTTTGTAGTGTACTATTTGCAGGGTCCCTGCTCGGGCGCCAATTGTAACAAAGCGCTTTATTCTGAAGGCCCCGACGCTTCTGTTTTCTGTGCTACGGTATACTCGCTGTGCCCAGAGTCCGCTACAATAAATTTATATTGTGGGGTCTTTGCAAATAGTCAGGGTTGTTGTGGAAACTGACCTTTGTCGGAATCGGAATTGAAACCGATGAAAAATTCGCGTTGGTGTCATGCATTCCGATATTATCGGTTTGATGTTTGAATCGGAATTAATATCGGTTTTTGGTGTCATAGAAACTAATTTTATCGGTTTGCTTATCGGAAATAAACCAAGCAGCTTATCGCTGTCAGAATTTTATTTGAGTTTTGTTCTTTCTTGGTGGATATTTTGCTAATATGTGAGTACATAACTTAAATTTATTTAAAATATGTATTTTAATCTCCAATTATTAGGGGATAACACAAGAACAATGTACAAAATTCCATTATAGTGGAATTCATGGAATATAATCCCGATATCGCAAAGGGCTACACGAAACGCGATAAGCCCTTTGTTAATGCTCTTTGGGAAAAGTTAACAAATTCCCTAAATAGCGCAGGCCCACCCCAAAAGGATGCTAATGGATGGAAGAAGGTAAGTGTTAAATTCAGCCTCAATGTGAGTTCTATTAACTTTGTTATTCTCAGACGTGGACTGAATGGAAGAGTGAAATTAAAAAAAAAATTTCACACAACAAATGCGAAGCTCGAGCTACTGGTGGGCCCTTTACCAAACACCAATTAACACAATTAGAAGAATCGGTTGTACGTATATGTGGAATTGCTCAATCGGTCTATGGTGTTACAGGCGTTGCACTTGGCCAAACAGAATCTGCGAAGGACCTTCTTATCGATGAAACGAACAACGAAATGGCCTCAACTTCATCTAAGCGGCAAGTGGAGCCTTCTAATTTTTCTAGCACCCCAAACGAAATACCATCAACGTCAAATAAGCGACAAATGGAGCCTTCCACTATTTGTAGCACCCCAAAAAGGCCAAGAGTGGAAAGCACAGGGCAACGTTTCAAGAAATTTTTAGATGAGGAAACCGAAATAAAGTTGGAAATGAACGAGAAGTTGGATGAGCTGATCAAAATTGGAAAAGAAAACCAAAGAAGTTTTAGACGTATGTATCGTGCTGTCGACAACTTTGTGAGCGTCAGTACGCAAATTTTAACAGTGCTGCAAGAAAGAAATCAAATTGAAAAAACAGCGACTAGATCTCCAAAAACAACCAAATGCTAATAAGTGGTCTCATTTTTAATGAAAAATAGTTTTTAAGTTTTAAGTACCTTGTAATCTGAGAAAAAATACTTATTTTTATTTTTTATGTACATACACATACATACATACACTGGAAATGAAAAGTGAGTGCCTGGTGATGTTTGATGAATATTTGCAGTGTTTTTTGTGTTATTTTTTATAAAAATATGGTTCATGCTTTAACCAAAATCACACAAGTCAAACTTTCAAACTTTATACAGAATTTAGAAAAATTCTAAGAATTTTCATCAAAATTTTGAACTTTTTAATCCGAATTTTTAGAAAAATTTTGGGTATGCAGATACATACATCGGTTATAAAATTTTAGTAAAATAAGTGCAAGTTTTGATTTAGTTTTATAAACGCGTTGATTTAGTTTTATAAACTGCACTTTTTATATACAAAAAAAAACCAAAATTTTGTGTTGATCGTTTACCGTCACAGTGGAACGCGTTGCAAATATTATTTATATTTTATTTCGATGACGGTGTGAACCAAGCGCCATAAAAATTTATTATTTATTTTTGTCAAATATTTTGGATATTTTAAATCAAATAAACATAGAATTTCAAAGTGAATCATTCAGATTGCATAATTTATATAACAATTTAGAAAGCAACTTTAAACTTATATTGTATTTCTTTGTCAAACTAAACTGTACGCCAAGTCAGCTGATGTAGACATTTGTAAACCAGATAAACATTTACCTATTAAGGAAGTATATTTATTTATTTACAACAATTAATTATAATACATATTACTATAATATTATAACCAATTAAAAAAGGAACTTATGGATACTAGTTGCATAGACCATCGGCCCTATATTAAAAGCAAATTGAAGTAAGCTTAGTGTACATATGTATATGGAAAAAAATAAAAAATAAAAAATTTCTATTCATTAATTATACGAACGATGCTTTGCTTTATATAAGGTGGTATAAATTGGCAGGTTTAAGGAATGACGTGACAATATTAATATTCGAGGAGTTTATATCTTTAAGTAGCGAAGACGGTGTTTTTGAGTTGAAGTGTTGACGCCTGACGCCAGTGACTTACAGTCATCCAGTAGATGTGTATCGTTTGGGGTCAGTCCGCATCTTGGGCATATTGATCTATTTTCTCCGGTTAAGAGGTGTGAGTGTGATATTTGTATGTGGTCAATTCTCATACGAACAGCGGATGCTGTTTTTATATGGGTTGATGGCTTTATATGCGTGGTTGAAAGACGACCACTCATTTGACTCCACTTCTTGGTAGATCATTTTTATTTTGTTGAAAATATCTAAGGAAGTATATATTACTTATGCCGCAGAGACGTGTATGTATATCAACAGCACATTTAAGTAAAGTCCAAATTTTAAAAATAAAAAACACAATATTCAACAATGTTATATTGAACTTTGTTTGCAAATAAAAAAATAGATTTAATTTAGCAGTGAAATTTTGAAAAGCCTTGCATGTATTGATCCATTGCCATATAAACAAAGCGCTAATTATACATTTTTAACCGTTTAAATAATGTTCCTAACTTTTTTAATTTCGATAATTAAATAGGTTGCGCTGAAGTAAGCAAGGGGGAGCAAGCAAGCTAAAAAATGCTTTAATTAACTTTTTAAATTTCGAAGTAACTTTTTTTATTTTTAACTTGTTATGTTTGCCGCACAGCGCAATTTCTCAGAACTGAATTTGATAAAAAAAAATGGAACAAATTGCTTTACTTTGATAATGGTGGAATGCATAATATTTTCCAAATGCCATAAAATGATAAAAAAAAATTAATTCCGAGTCCTATAAGTACAAAAAGTTTTTAAACTAAAAATAAGATTATATATAAGATATATTTGCTGTTTTATTATA